GTGTGTTGAAGTTGTTTTAACGCAAACCAAAGATGCCTTTTAAGAAACAAGTTTACATCCTATTCTTATGCATGCCAGTGTGTGAAGTAATTTAAGGTGGTTCTGACAAGTGTCGTCGGCATCTTCATATCCGGTCACATGGGTGGCAAGCCACTCCCACAAAGGAGGCCACACCCACAGAGTAGGTTCGAACTATTTTTGAAACCCACCACTGCTTTATAGGATGTTTTATTTCGTTTTCTCCAAACTAGATTAATGCTGTAGGATTTCTTGATGGTCTCCTATTCAAATATCAATCTAGTCCTGCTCAGATTTTTTTTTAAAAAAAGTTAGCCAAGTCTGTCTAAATGCTGTCCCATGTTCTGGTGCTTTTGGATTGTCATGGCAACGTTATCAAGGCCATGAAAAGTCCAAGGTTTAGCAGAATATGGAAAGCCCCCAGTCATAACACTAAAGCACATACATATTTATGTTTTATGCATAACCATTGTGCGTGCATGCAGATGCACGACTGGACAGGAACGGGGATTACTTTTTTGGTTTTCTAGATACAGATGAGTAAGAGAAGACAAAGAGGCAGAGGCTGACTCATTGCCTCAGATGTACAAGAAAGGAGAAACCCATATAGATGCTTTGCCCCACTCACTGGATGCCTTGGCCTTGGTATTGTTTCTCTCTGTATGAATGATTTCCTCTCATCCTGGAAAAAAACAAACCTTTCCTGGAGAAAAGGCTGAATATAAACGAATTAAAATAAGGGGGTAAGGGCAAATATTGGTATATTTACTAGTTCAAAATAAGCTCATAGAAAAAGAACAATCAAATTTACACATAAAGAGACCTTGGGGAAGAGACAAATTCCTAAAAATTGACAGGGAATCCTATTACCAATTCTAAAAATCTAGTACTTGAACAGTCTTGCTTCTCAGTTGCTCAATTTGCATGCTTGCCTAGTCTTCTGTAGCCCTGAAGGCACAAAGGCAAACCAGGCACATTTGCCTAGAAATAAAAAATAACTTTCCTTGCACTGAGTCCTGCTTCAAGTTACACTTTTAGGGTATGGTATATACCTATTTATTAAAACATCCAGCTGTATTCAGAGGCAATATAAAATAGCAGTCTAAATCTCTCTTCTTGGCTGTTGGGTAATTCCAATTTCATAACAAAGAAACGGAAAAACTATACACATGCACACTAGATTGGAAAATATGACTGGACAGCTTAACTAGGCCAGGATCTTTCTCAGAAATGACAATGGTGCTGCTCTCTGCCTCATTTTTGCCTTTTCTACCAGATCTGGGCACTGGACCCACTGAAATCCTGGGAGGAGAGAATGCTAAATGGAAAGTACTGGGATGTATGCTGACTTCTCTGAGTTTCAGTGCAAACCAGATGGGACTTCAATTACAGTAATAATAATCAATTAAGGAGCTAGTGGTTACTTCTGAGGAAAGAGGTCTCTTCTGGCACTCAATAAGAGCAACAGCTGTGTCTATGAGTTGTGGCCTGCAAAACTCCATATGTCCAATATAGGGAAAAGCTAGTTTTCTGCAATTAGCAATAGCAATAGCAGTTAGACTTATATACCGCTTCATGGGGCTTTCAGCCCTCTCTAAGCGGTTTACAGAGTCAGCATATCGCCCCCCAACAACAATCCAGGTCCTCATTTTACCCACCTCGGAAGGCTGAGTCAACCTTGAGCCGGTGAGATTAGAACCGCTGAACTCCAAGAATGAGAATGAAAAGTCAAACATCTTCAAAGAATAACAAGTCCAGTTGCCTCTGGAAAAAAAAATCACCTTTGGGGACAACCATGACCTGGATGGCTGAGAATCTCCATAGACATTTACTTTTTTCTAAGTATCTATTTGCTACCGTCTAATAGTATCCATACTAATCATCCACTTTCCTCGTTTTGCCAGTTTTATTACTTTCGTCCGTTTGTGGACATCGTGGCTTCACTGGTGCCTTGAACGATAGCTACCATCCTGCCCAGTGCATTGAGAAGCATTTATACCAGATCGTGAGTTTTCGTTCTTTTCTTTAGCTACGCCTATTGATATAGACAAAAGGATTTTTTTTTGGGGGGGGGGAACGAGGTAAGAGTCCTTTTACAAGCTGAGTTGCAGATTTGATTGTAGAATTAAAATCTGGCATGCATAATAAATTGCACTAAGCTTAAAGAAGAACAGAAAAAAGGACTAAGATGGGAAGGAAGGAAGAAGGGAAGGGAAATAGAGACAGAGAAAGAGAGAGAGAATGAATGAATGAAAGAGAGAAAGAAAGAAAGAAAGAAAAAGAAAGAAAGGATTTCTAACCATCATTACAACAAATGTAAACTAATTTAGTAAATTTCTCCCCCTCTAAGGTTGCAAACATTTATTTCTTCAGACTACATCACGTCTCTTATCTATAAACAAATCCATATCAATTGCTAATTTGATGACATTAAAGGTTAACGTGCCATTTTTTTTTCATGATTCTCTTCGTATCTGTCTCTATTCAGAAACATAGAAATAGATCTCGGAAGGAAATGGCATCAATCTTCACAGCAATTCCACCGACTGCACTTAATTCAGAAGAAAGACAATCTGAATTTAGGAAAGCCCCCGTCTCCTTCAAAGAAACAAACAAACAAACAAAAATCTCCCTCTGTTATCATATTCCTGAGAAATTGAAAATAATTCTTCCAATCTGATATGTATAATTTAAATGGTTTGGAATGAGAGAAACCTAGTCTGCCATTTAGATAAGTAAAATATTAAGGTATTTTCACTGTTCTGTCCCCCCCCCTTCCCGCCTTCATGGACAACTGAAACCAATGCTTTTTCCATGTGAATAAAATGTATAATGAAGTATTTTACTCTCGTTCCATTAGACAGATTCCTAGGAGAAAAAGGGGGGAAAAACCCCCACATTTATATAATTAAGGAGCTTTATTAAGAGAAATAGAATAATTAGGGGCCACATTCATTTCAAATGCTAGCATTGATTGATTTGTAGTTTGCTTCATCCACTCTCATCCTAAAGCACGTTTCTCTTGGTTTCACGTTTTTGCTTACAGGTTACAGTGTGAAAGTAACTTACGCATTAGTGCGAACCACAAACACTGAACTTGGTCTGCTGAGGATGCCAAGACAATGTTGCTCCTCTGTTCCTTGCTCGACGGGTGGGCTGATTGAGCCCACAATCTCCATTCATGATCACTTACTGTCTCCGCAGAAACTATTGTTCTTTAGTTCCATTGCTGTAAAGTAGGTTTCCCCCCCCCTTTTCTGCATCCCACTCGTCCTGCTTTCAGGCTAGAAGGGATTCCCAATTATGCTTGCCATCACCAATCACAACATCTGCACAAGGAAAAGGAACCTGCCACTGGCTGTGCCGCTTTCGAGCCCTTTGTATCTTTCAGTAATTACGCATATCATCTTGGGAGCCCTTCTGCAAGAGATGCAGAAAACTGAAATGAATTCAGTGCCTCCCGCCCTCCCTCTTCCCTTCCTCCCCATTGGCTGGTGGCTAAACTGAAGGGGTGGGGAAGAGCTGCCTCTAACTACCTTTCCATCCCATCGCCGTATAAGAAGCAGCAGAAAGCAGGCAGGAGGGCAAGCATTGCCTAGATAGCTGAGTAGTATTTTTGTTCTGAAATAATTGTTTCAAATGCCCAGCAGCAGCTGCAGTAGCAGCAGCAGATTTAGTTTTACAGATTGAGGCTCTGGGAAGAAAGAAATCCACCTTCAGCTGCCTCATACCGGTGAATACAGGCACTTGTGGAACTGGCAAAGCAAACATTAATTGTCAAAGACTTGACTATTTTTTTATTTATTTATTGCATATCGAACCTGTTTTTGTTTTTTTTTCCTGACGTTCACTTTCTGCTTCTTGGAATGGCGCGTAGAAATCCCTAGCCACTGAATATCCCAGGGTGCCAGTCAAAGAGGGACATTTGGAAGGCGTGGAATTAATTTGCAAGCCGCAAAGTTGCCCAAGGAAGGTTGAAGACCTTGTGAGGATGAATTTCACTTACCGCTATGGAGCCCATCGGCCTCTTCATGCGTGGAACCACAGCCACGGACACCATCACGGTGACCTGAATAGGTCGATGGAAAAAGGCTACTCTTCAGAAGGGTGTTATGAGCAACTCTTTGTCTCGCCAGAAGTATTTGTGATCTTGGGCTTTGTGAGTTTGCTGGAGAACGTGCTGGTGATCGCCGCTATAGCCAAGAACAAGAATTTGCACTCCCCGATGTACTTTTTCATCTGCAGCTTGGCGGTGGCCGACTTGCTGGTGAGCATCTCGAACGGGTCAGAAACCATCGTCATCACCTGGCTGAACAACACGGAAGTCGACACACACAGTTTTACCGTTAGCATCGACAATATCATTGACTCAGTGATTTGCAGCTCTCTGCTGGCCTCCATTTGCAGTCTGCTTTCCATAGCCGTGGACAGGTATTTCACAATCTTCTATGCTCTCCAGTATCACAACATCATGACAGGGAGGCGTGTCGGTATCATCATCACCTGCATCTGGGCCGCCTGCACAGTCTCAGGGGTCCTGTTCATCATTTATTCCGACAGCAGCGTTGTCATCATTTGCCTCATCGCCATGTTCTTCACCATGCTAGTCCTCATGGCATCTCTCTATGTCCACATGTTCATGTTAGCCCGCCTGCACATGAAAAAGATTGCGATTCTCCCAGGCACCGGCTCAATTCGGCAAGGGGCCAACATGAAGGGCGCCATCACCCTGACCATCTTGATCGGGGTCTTCGTAGTGTGCTGGGCCCCGCTCTTCCTCCACTTGCTCTTCTACATTTCATGCCCTCACAATCCCTATTGCATCTGTTTCATGTCCCACTTTCACCTGTACCTCATCCTAATCATGTGCAACTCCATCATCGATCCGCTTATCTACGCTTTCCGAAGCCAAGAGCTGAGGAAAACCTTCAGGGAGATCATGTGCTGCTGTAGCCTGAGAGAGTCATGCGATTTCTCAGGGAAATATTGAATGCCTCTGAAGAAGCTGTTGCAGAAAGGCAATTGCCTCAGAAATTGATGTCTCCTCTAGTTTTGCAGAGCATCTGGCTTCACTTGCCACAAGAAATATATTTTGAACAGTACCTGGTACATGAATGTTTGCTTCTGTTCGTAAGCTCACAAACTACATATGTAATCATTTCAAGGCTGAAGCGATGTTAGTGGTGTTTAGCAACGACTCGGCAAGCTGCCAGGGATGCAAAATGCCCACATATTTTCAGAATGATGAGAGAGAATAATTCAACTGTGTTGGGGAATAGGAAGAAAAGTATTGCTCACAACTAAGTCCTTCACTTTCTTCAGCTATTTATATTTAAAAATTGGGAGCTAGCATTGTCTTGGACTTGTATGTATATGGTTAAATCAAACGAGACTTTATTAGAGAATTGTGCTTTATGTCACATTTTGCTCAAACGATTGTTTAAAAAAAAACAACGCATCTTGCATCTTGTTCTTAAGATAATAGACCCAGTGAAGATAAAATGTAACTCAGCTGGAATCCATTGCTGGGGTGGATCTGGTCTGGGAAATTGGGAACAGTACTTTGAAAGGATTTCATGGTTTTGAATAGGACAATAAGGGATATATTTGGTATGTACTGTATGCATTTACTTTCTTACGCAATTGAAATAATTTTCTATTAAGTAGTCTAGATGACGTGCAGTTAAAATTGTGTCATTAAATATATAAAATGAATTGCACTGAAAATGTACAAATGTCTAAATGTCTGTTTGGGAAAGAAAAACCCATGTGTAGGGCACTCAGGCATAGCCTTATTTCTTATCCTTTTACTGAAAGAAACATGAAAAGTGTAAAATTGTTAAAAATCACGTCAAAAGGATTGCATCAATGAAAGGCAACAATAAAAGTGTGGCTTTAAACACCGAGCAGATGTGGTAAAAATTAAGTATTTATCGTTGGTTTTAGAACACAAACTAATTCACCTTTGATACCTCTTCATCAATTTACAACTTACAACCAGTATGACTGAGGAAACAACTTCTGGAAAATGGTTTGTTGTTATACTATTATATTATTCTGATTCATTTGACAGCTGGATGTTTAGACTGAATTTGGTGCTGTTATCTACCTCTCTGATCCTTCCCAAGGATCTAGTATAGGCAGATATTGTTATTTGATGGTATTAAAGGTATTGTCACACATGCAAGCTCTTTGAAGTAAAGCTACATTTTACAATTGACTTTGTCAATGCCGATTGCTATTATTATTGGTAGTAGTAATACAATTATTCCCCCCTCCCCAGTTGTGGAGGGATACTACTTTCGCCTCAGGAACAACAACCAAAAATTATTTTACTTTTGTGGGGGAGGGAGTGTAATCAGTGGTGGGATTCAGCCAGTTCACACCACTTCGGGAGACCCGGTTGTTAACTTTCTGAGCAGTTTGGTGAACTGGTTGTTGGAAGAAATCGTTAAGGCAGAGAATCGGTTGTTAAATGAGTGTAATCCTCATTGTTGAGATGGTAAAGTCTTGTACTTATCTGAGCATCCAAGAGGTGCAGCTAAACATCCAGTCTTTCACTAGACAATAATCCTCTACCAGTTTATAACCATCCTTGATACTTATGCTTCAGTTAAATCAAAGACCATCTAAACTTTTGGAAAGTTAGCAAATAAAGTCTCATTCCACACCTCACCCCCTATGACCTTCCTGTTTAAGAGCTTTTTCCTCCACAAAGCACTAAATAAAATAGCAAGCTTCAAGGAACAGTCATACATGCAAGAATAGTGATAATATGCTTATACTAAACCAATACTATTTAAGAGAATTAACAGCTGATGTAAAAATCATACCAAAAAATTCATTTCAAAAACATTGGTGTCAACTCAACAAAACATTATATATTTGTTATGTAAGCTCCCCGTTGGGAGAGTGAGTGCGTCCAAAGAAGAGTTGTGAGAGTTGTGTTGGAGAATACACAAACCGGCATACAGAGACACTGCAGTTTAAATAGACTTTTACTTTTGTGGAAATAGAGGTATCAGAGTCCATCAAACAGTTCAAGTCATACACTGATAAGACAGTCAGTCATCAATGTCTTTCAGTTAAGGCATAATCCAAAATAACACAGTCCAGTATCATATCATCAGTTCGACATTCAAAGTTTGCTAGCAGTTGCAAAACTTACAATAGCTCACGGCACTTTCTAACA